GGGGTCTGTGCACGCAGGTGTGGGTGCTCTTACATGCGTTTGTACCTATGTGTGTTGGGGAGGCAGGACCTCCAACTGGCTACTGTTCCTCAGCTTTTTCCCAAGAGATAAAATGACAGCTGTTCGGTTTACACAGTTAATTAACCTGAGGAATGCACGGTATAAGGTTGTTATTAAGACAACTGGGTAATTAAGTTTTTCCCTCAGAAAGGGAGGGAATGGAGGAGAAATAAAGCATTTAGGGGAGCAGACACAACACCAGAGGAGACACTGTCAGGAGAAGAAATCAGGGATGGAAAACTTTCAGATAAAACCTGCTGGTTCTAAAGGAGTGTAACCCAGCCCAGAGACGACCTAAGGGCTTGGCCTCAGCCTTTGCCATCACACCCCCTGCGAGAGATGATGGCAGACCTGCAGGGTCACACATAGCCCAGCTATCTCTAAGAAACAGACAGAGTCATCAGAGCTGAACCAACAGTACAGGTTGACTAAGCCAACTCCTTTATTTCATATGTAGAAATATGGTGGTCTAAGAGCAGCCATGACCTTCACAGGGTCACATCCCTATTCTTAGTGTCTGATCCAGAACCAGAGCTAGAGAGTCTTCACCCCCAGTCTGAGGCAACTTCACTAACCATGACTACCTTTGGATTCTCCAACAGCCCACTGAAAATCAGATTGGCAACTGTCACCCTGGGAAGCACAAAACAGGGTGGTCCGAAAATAGTTGATTTCAGTGAGGTATGTGAATGTGTATCCTGATCAGGGAAGTGTGATTCACAGATGGGGCAGCTTCTGCATGCAGATATAGCCTCCAGGAGGTGAAGAACAGGTAAAGGCCAGATAGAACAATTAGTGTCTTCCAGGCACCATGCCGATGGTCACTTTGCACATCCTTTTATATAGTGCTCACAGCAACCCCCTGAAATAGGTTACATCATTACTCTCACTTTTCAAATGAGGCTTCGGGACAGCACAGAAGTGAATGAGAGTCACAGACATATTCATCCATGCCTTGAGATTGAGGGAAGAGCAGTGCAATAAGCTTTCCCAGAACTTGTCTAGGAACCAGAAGAAAGAAAACAAGGGGGCAGGGTGGGACTGCAACTTCAGGTCATTTTGGTAAAGAACAGCCTCAAACTGTCCAGACAGTGAATGGGTCATCAAGGTGGGAGAGCCCAGAAGGACAAAGATAGGGGGTGGAGAAGGACGTGCTGTAAAGCTGGCTGAGTCCTGTGTCCATTGCAAGGGTTGCAACATGGACCCAAAGTTCACAGAAGCAAGCCCTTGAGATCAAGAGGATTTAGCCACCAAGACAGAATTGGGCAGAGGAGGTAACATGCCAACAGGCCTAAACTGGCCCACAAAAAGGAGCCACACTTGGAAGTCTGGAAGGAATCCCCACTGCTCCTGCAGCTTCCATTCTGCTGAGTCCCCCTCTGTTGAGGTCAGCTGGAGTTGGGGGTGGGGCGTGGCGTGAGGAAGGCAGAAATATGCAGGGGTCATAAATCCCACCTCACTGCACTCATGTTCATGTCACATCAGTAGGCAGGCAGCAGGTGTGGGTGATTCGGTACTAGGCTCAGGACTGGTCATGTCACCCCTGCCTGGAGATAGAACAGAGGCACTAACCAGAGGCCTTGACTTGAGGGAGGTGTGTGTGTATGAGAGTGGGAGACAGTAGAGAGAGATGAGGGGGAAAGATAAGGGGCAGGCAGGAGGAATGTAGCTCTGTCTTGTGCCAGCCTCATTTCTAGCTGTGACTGTCCAGCACAACCCTCTACCTCTAACTACTCAGAAAAATCAACACGTTAAGGTCCCAGCTCACACCCAAACCCCCTCAACAGTTCCCAGGAATAACAAGAACCACCTTGTGGGATATTGCAAACATTAATTGAGATGATGTATATAAAACTCTTAGTATAATGCCTAGGGCCCATAATATGTGTTTAATAAATTATAGTTGCCATTGGTATTATTTAATAACAAAATAAACTCAAAAACTCTTAGTATAATGCCTAGGGCACATAATATGTGCTTAATAAATTATAGTTGCCATTGGTATTATTTAATAACAAAATAAACTCAAAAGTTGAAATTGGAACTCAACAGAGTTAAAATCTGAATTTCTAATTCTTATCACACAGCCACCACTGCACCCACTGAGGGTTCAGGGTACATTTGGACAGAGAACTAGAAGAAAGTCTCTGCGCATTCAGTGTATGTCTTCATTGCTGGAAGCCATGGCCTTTGAGAAAGGTAGGCATTTAAGGGAGAGGAAATGAGAAATGAAACAAGACGGAGAAGTAGAAGGCAAGCAGGTAGAAGTAGAAGGAGAGATGCTGGTTGTCAGCAGTCAGCTCATTCCCAAAGAATATTGGAGCAAAAGAGGAATCTTAAAGACTACCTTATCTAATACTCGCTTATGGAAGGGGAAAGTGAGGCTTAGATAGGGGTAAGCTCTTGCTCAAGGTCACACCACCAGTTAGTGGCAGACCTGGAACTGCACACTGCCCTCAAGATGCCCCTATCTGTCCAAGCGGCTACATGGATTTATTTCCCTTTATAGATTAAAAAAAAAAAAAAAGAGTCAATGCTTCTCAGCTTTCACAGCAGAAAAATAGCTGAGACTTATCCATCCCCAGGGTTGCAAAAGTCTAGACTTCTCTCTTGCAAGCACTCTGTTTTGCTCTCAGGGGATTGCTATGAGCAGGGAAGGCACTTGGCTCTCTGGGCCATCCGAGGGAGGCAGAGGGCAGGCCAGGGTGAAGTCAAAAGCCCCAGGTCTACAGGGAAGGAGGCTGTCCAGACAGGACTGGGAATGAGGGTGCATTCCAACATGAAGGCCTCTGACTTCTCCTTGCTTCCCCTCAGAAGAGGAGTTAGCCTGAGGAAGGAAATCAGCAGAGATCTCCCTCAAATTTTCAGACATAGGTTCAATGGCACATGATTTGGGGTATGTGTGGGGTGGGAGTAGCTAAAATCACTCTACTGCCTAGAAAGCTCAATACTGCCAGGTCCTCTGATGCTTATGGAGTAATCTGGCCCACAGGGAGTACTCGCCTGAGACTGGCCTTCTTACCCAACCCTGTCAAATGGGCTTCCCCACATCCAAGTGGGTGAGACGCAGAAACCACAGCCACCCCCAAAGTCACTACCCAGCACCATTCTTGATTAAAAATAGCTAAGATAACACAGGGACTAGAAGGGTAGTGAGGCCCAGAGGCCATATCAGATACCACCTTTTATGACCCTGAGGACAAGGGCAGCCTGGAAATGGAAAACCACAGATAATCCAAGTCTCCTTCATGGCAATCAATCTCTCTCATTCACCTTCTTGCCCTCTCTCACTTTTTTCCCCCAAAGTTTGCAGAAACTCAAGACAAACCACTTCCTTGCCCATTCCCCTGTACAAACCTAGGCTTTGAGGGAGCAAAATGGCCAAATGAAGCAGTGGGGAGACAAGAAAACACTGAGTGATTTCAACTTGGTAAAATAACAAACAAAAAAAAAGATTTCTCCTTACTGAAGGCAAAAGAAAAGAAAAAAACTCACAGGCAATGTGCAAGAAACAGCTCTTTGAAAAACCAGTTGCCTAATAGGTAATGTCAATCTTGGCTCAAAGCATTGAGTCCCTGAATTTGCTCCAACTTATCAACTGAGTCTCTGACACTCCAGGATAACCTCAAGTCACTTTCTCATCTATCTCACCGACCATGGCACAGCTCAGTTCCTGCCATGGCAAGAACATAGCTCGGTGCACATATCCTAGCACTGTGCTCCCCCAGCCAAGTCAGCACATTAGACTCTACATACCTAAAGGGTCAATATTTGTCTATTTGTCTAGTCCCAACACTTGAAAGACTATCCTGGCCACACTCAAGGACTCAGAGAAGACTCCGCTCTATCCGGAAGAGAGAAAAGAGCCAATCAGCTAATTCTAAGTCTGAGGGGGGACCCCAAAAAACTCCAGATTTTATTTATAAAGAAATGTTTATTTATTCTTACATATTTAAACTTCAGTCACCTTCAAAGTACTCTCCATTTGATGCAATACACCCACCAAGACACTTTTTCCTTTGCTCAAAACAGATTTTTAATTCATCAATTTAGATGCCTTTTAGTGTATCTGCCATTTTTTGTTTTGTCTCTTCCATATCAGCAAAACATCCCCTTTGAGAATTTTTTCATTGGGGGAACAAAAAAAGTTGCTCAGGGCAAGATTGGGTGAATAGGGATGGTGGAGCATGGGGGTCATGTCATTTTTGGTCAAAAACTGCTGAATTGGCCTGGCTCAGTGGCTCAGCCTGTAATCCCACCCCTTTGGGAGGCTGAGGTGAGTGGATTGCCCGAGCCCGCGGGTTCAAGACCCGCCTGGGCAGCGAGACCTCATCTGTACAATAAATCAAAAAATCAGCCAGGCATGGTAGTGCGTGCCTGTAATTCCAGCTACTTGGAAGGCTGAGTTGGAAGGATCGCCGGAGCCCAGCAGGTCGAGGCTACTGCACTCCAGTCTGGGTGACAGAGTGAGATTCCAATTCAAAAAACAAACAAACAAAAAACTGCTGAATATTCAGCACAGTGTGGGTAGATACGTTGTTGTGGTGAACAACCAGTCACCTGCTTGCCACAACTCAGGACCGTTTCTTCCGCAAATCATGATGCAAACTTCTCAAAACGTCTAGATGAAAACTTTGGTTGACCATTTAGTACAGAGGAACAAATTCAAAGTATACTATGAGGGGCCCGCCCTCCAAATATAATTCTGGTTTTTTTGCGGGGGGACCCTTTCGTACACGTCCCTTGCCCATTCAACATGTAAATTCCGTAGAGGTAGGGATCCAACTTTACACTTTTCCTGCACTCCCCAGACCCCACAGTGCATAGGGCTTGGCCTACACCAAGTACACTTAAATTATTCGGTGAACAAATGGCAGTCTCACCCACTTCATTCTGTTCCACCTCCCTCCAGTCCCAGGGGCCATGGAAGTAGGACCTACCTCACCATACTGAGTGCAGTAGGTTTCAGGCTTGGTCAGTCCACAGGTAGATGAAGCTCGAAGAAACTGGGTCCTCCCAATGAGCAGGTCCCCAACAGGTGGATAGCAGGCCCCACGGGAGCAGGCTTGCTGGGCACACAGGAGGCCAGGCAAGGCTGAAATCACAAAGATATGCTGTGGTGCAGCTCAGAGAAGGAAGGACCTAGCCAGCCACCCCAGCATTACTCAGGGGAGCTGACATCAGCAAGACTAGACCCTCTCACTCATTCAAGTTCCAATCTGCTGTTGGTGATAATGATTGCAATCCTGCTAGTGTTAGATTTTATATGCTGATTTTATATTCTAGAGCCCCAAATTGGAAAGGAGAAGAGGAGAAACATTGGTAATCTAAAGCCATAGATGACCCCAAAATGTGGCATCTGTTTGTGGCTTAAAGTCAAGTTAGAGACATAGGCTTGGCCTCCCAGACATGGACCTCAACTCTTATCACCTGCAGCATGGCCTCTGTCAATAGCCCAGAGTGGAGGAGACTGCTGAGCCACATGTGAAACATTGAGAGAGACCTGCATTCTTTCTATTCCTTTATCCACAAAGTTGACCCAGTCACACCTTGTGTCCAGCTACAATTCACAGAAAATCAAGATCTCAAGCCATGATGGCTCTGGAATCGGCTGGAGAATAAAAGGATGGAAAATTAACTGGGCAGAGCACTCAGGAAACCATAACCACCCATGGATAAGAACAAGAAGACACCTGGGAACCTTTCAAGAGAAGCAGAGAATCCCCTTCCCCAAAGGCCCAGAGGGGTGGGGAAACCTTACAGGTGTCCCCAGTAGACAAGTGTTCCAAATCCATGAGACTATAGGGGGACAGGCGATGCTCACATTTTGGTAAACTCTCCTCCTATACATGGCTGTCACCCCTGCTATAAAACAGGGCCTAGAGGGATGGGAAGGAATACTTACTAAAACACAGGAGGAGGATTGGTCTCATCTTCAGCCAATGGGGTGATCCCCAGAGAGGACCTCACCTGGGACAGAGCAAAATAGCCTGGGTATAAAAATGCAAACCCCTGGAGCACATTTGCCCTTTTTCTTTTCTCTTTCTGAACCCAAGTTTTTTTTCAGGAGTTCTTACTTAGAAAGTTGGCCTAGACCACTTCGAAGCAGCAGGTCCATTTCTAGCTAAAAGCTTGGAAAATACCAGAGCCCTAGACTCCTGTCCCAGCTGGCATGTGACTCACAGGGCACCCTGGGAAAATCCCATCCCCTAACAGATCTCAGCTTCCTCCTCTGAAATGAATGAGAAGGAGGATGGACCCTATCCTGCCCCTACAAGGACAACTGGGGAGCAGGAAAGGGTTAGACAGTCCAAGGCCTTGTTCCTGTCCCAAGAGAAAGGACTGCTTTTCTTAGGGCCCTTTTCTTAGGGCTATATGGCCACAATTCTAGCCTAAGCAGGTAGCTGGGTTGCCATAGGAAGAGAGGTGTGCCTGGCATCTTTAACAAGTGAGTGAGGATTTTGTCTGAACTGGAAGTAACTCCAAGTGTCTCCAATTATGGAGTGGGGCTCAACAAGGGAGGTGGACTCGCAAGACTGGAAATGGATGCTCAGAAGTCACTGGTGGGGTCCAAGCAGCAAGCCTGCCTTATTGAGGCATGCCCATTCTTGCACATATAGTGCCTCTCTCTGGCTTGGATCGGATGCTCGCTCTGCTCCACTGGCAGCTACAAACTCCTTTGGCTGGAGTGGAGGGCTGGGACTTGACAAGGCAGGGACAGAGGGGGAATTGAAGGCATTACTGGCATCTTTAAATTATAGGTCCTAATGCCGTAAATCATTTCTTCCAATCCTCTCCCACAAGAGTTAGGGCCCCAGGGAGGAGACATGAGGTCGCACAGCTGATGACGACCTAAGAGAGAGCCATCTTCTGACTTTTCATCCAGTCCTCTCTCGGCTCTCCTACTCCTGGACTAGAAATCCCTCTGCAACAAGGAACTCTGAGCAGGACTAGCCCACTCTTTCCACTTCTCTTTTGTGTTTAACCCCAGATGTGAACCTGCTTTCTTTTAAGTCACTGAGGTGCTTATCAGATGTGAAAAAGCAATCCAAACAGTGCAGACATTTTTACCTACATGGTGAACATCTGTGTGAACACCTGAGTGAACTCCCAGGAAAAGAAATGAATCAGGCCCTGCAACCAGGCCCCAGGCACCTGTAGTTACAGCCCTTTTTCCCCATCCAGCCCCCCAGGCAGGTAAAGACAGGTAACATACCTCACTCCGTGCTGCAGCTGTTCTTTCTCCAGATCACCCGAGAGTTCCTCTTGAATGTGGGGGTCTCTTCTCCTGGCTCCAAGTTTTTAAACAACAGCCTCACCTCTGAAGACTCCTGGCTGGGTGTAGTCCTACTACAGGGCTACAGGGCGGGTCTCAGGAATCTGGCAGCCGTCACGCCCATCTGTCGTCACTGCACCCCCACCCCCCAGAACGGGACTGGGCAAATGGGTCCATCCCAAAGGCCTCACAGCAAGTGCCCGCCTGCCTGTGGGTGCCTGTGGGGCTGGAGGGGGAACCACAAGTGAAAGGCACCAGGCAAACGTAAATAATCGTCAGAGACTAGGATTCCTAGGGTGAGGAAAGGCCCCCGTGTTTGTGCCAGGCACTGAACTTAGCATTTCTTCCTTCCTCTTAAGTCCTGGATCACCCTGGACAGAAGACCAGGTAGAGGACACAAAGATCAAGGATCATATACAGAGTGTCAGAGCCCCAGACATGTCATTGGATTAGAAGAGGAGAAGATCCAAACATTCAGCAACCTGGAAAGCACCAATTCTCTGCCACGGGGGAAAAAGTGGAAAATTCCAACTTCTTGGGGGAATTTGGAGGATCCTTAAAAGGCAAGATTCATCAGGCAGGGGTCAAAGTCAATTCATCCAAGAGAGCTTAAAAGGAATGAGCAGAGTAACTCTAAATGCCTCCCCTCCAGCTCCCTCCACAGGCTTGGCAGCCAGCCCTAGGACAGGTAACAGCCTGTGAGTCACTGCCCCCACCTAGCCCCTCCCTCCTGGGCAGGAATGCCCGCCTGGAGGGCCAGAAAACAGACCTGACCACAAGTGGTGGAAGGACAGGCTGAAGCAAAACTGGACTAAGACAGCCAAAACAGACTTCCCCTGGCCCCCTGCCAGCCTGAACACAGCTTCCTTTGTGGGACCCTGGGGGAGGGGCAGGCTCCTTGCTCAGGGCTCCTGGGCTTAGAGCCACTATAAATGGAAGTAACAAATCTAGATTGAGAGGTGGGTTTTACAGGATGCTCTCTGCCTCTCCCCTCCACCACCCCCTAGATTAGGGCCGGAGAGATTTTAGGGAGACCTGGAAGGTCACCAGTCCATATCTTGGCCCTGGAGAGCCTGCACTGGCGTCAGTGTGGAACGCAATTACCTCAAAGTTGTTATTTAAAGGAGACTCATAACTACCTATTCCAGTCTGACGGTGTCTCTTAAACAGTCCTCTACCATTGGAGAGTTATGTCCATGAAATTGGTTTGAAAGCCCAGTGTAGGATTTTGTGGATTTAACTGGGCATTTTGAAACAGTTTTGAAGCTAGCACAAGTTCTGGTGGGCAGAGGAAACAGTATAATCAGTATCTGGACAACAAGTTGTTTAGATGCGTAACTGATACTCTAATAAATGTTAACGCCTTGCCCCCAGTTGGGGTAAGTACAAGCAGTGTCCCTTCTACACAGAGAGACTCCCACCACATCCCCCATGGAAATGGGTCACCTCTGACCTGCGTTTTGAGTTCTCCCACCTGGTGGTCTCTTTCTTTCCAGTTCCCCAACTCCCTGAACTAAAAGTTTCCAGGAAACTTTCGCCCTCTGCCTATCACCAGAGGATATGACAAAGAACTCATTAATAATTAACTCAGCAGAAGAGAGCAGGTGTTGCAATCCCAGATCTTCAGAGCAGACAAGGCAGGGCAGGTGTGCGGTGGGCCTCACCATGAGTAGCTGGAGCCCTTCAAATCCCCTTCCTCTTCCCATTCTCTGAGGCTCGGAGCCCAGGCAAATAAGCTTTTGGTGTTTCAGACTTCACAGGCTGGGGCAGGTCCTGGAATGGTTTAGCTTCGCAGGAAGAAAATGCCATGTATGCACTCCCGGCCCCCCACGCACTCCCAACACTCCACTGCAAAGTCTAGGAAGCTGTTTCTGCAGACCCTCAGAGGCGGCCCAGCTAGTCTCACTCTTCAGGAACATTCATCATTTCCAAGTGGGGAGCCAGTTCCCCCCAGAACTCCGGGACCCCAGGTGTAGGCTTTGGAACTTCAGAGATGAGTAGCCTAAAATATAGCCCAAGACTGAATAGGGGTCTGGCTAATGCAAAAGGGGAAGTTGGGTCCTGGCTCAAGCCCCTTAGCCTCCCCTCTGTGCACTCCTTTCCTCTCTCCCTGCCACCCTCCTCCTATATCATAATGCTCATCTGCCTGGGAGCCTTGGCTCATTAGAAGTTGTGCTCAGGAAAGTGGTAGTAAGGTTATCCTCGACTCTGGTGTCTCTGGCACCCACATCAATCAGCAAACTCTGTTAGCTACCCCTTCCAAAAGTAACCAGAATCCACTTCTGCCCTGCTGGCCTGAGCCTCTCTTCCCAGGACATCTGCAACAAGCTCAGATCCTCATGCCTCAGGGAGGTCCACTTGGACCACACTGTACACTTGTGTACAGTCAGGATAGCAGGTTATGTTCCCCCATGCTCAGAACCCTGCACATGCCCCCATCCCTCTGAGGGTCGAGGCCGGAGCTCCCTCAGGGAGTCTAGGAGGCCCTACATTGGCAGAACTGCCTACCTTCATTACCTCTCTACCTCTACTATGATGACTCCCCTTCCCTGTCTTCACTCCAGCCACGTGGCCTCATTGCTGTGCCTCTGGACTGCCTGGTCTTCTCCTGTCTTGGAGCTTTTGCTCATGTTGCTTCTACTGCCTGAAATTTTCTTAGTCCTGGATATCTGCAAAGGCAACTCATATTTTTTAAGGTCTTTATTCAGATCCTCACGCCTCAATGAGATCCACTCGGACCACACTATTTAAAATTATAACCAACTTCCCTGCCCCATGCCTGTTTCCAATTCCACCTACCTTACATTTTGGTGAGTTACTTATGTATTTATTTATTTAGGGGGGCAACACTTACCACCTTCTAACCAATCATATAATTTACCTGTTTATTGTGTTTATTTTCTATCTCCTGTCCACTAGAATGTCACATCCAAGAAAGAGATTTTTGTCCATTTTGTTCAAAGTTCCTGGCACATAGTAGGTGTTCAATATGTGTGAAATGAATGGATTTACACCACAGTGCAAATAATGGATACAGTTCAATGAGTCCCCCCTGCCTTTTACATGCAGTTGCATTCTCAGAAGGGACAGTCCAGGTTTTTGGCTACCAAAATGGATTACTAACAGTAGAAATTCAGAGGTCTTTTCTGAGGCACCTACACCCAATTACAGAAATGTCACCATATTGATAGAGGCAGTATGGTTCTTGGCCTGCTTATCAGTCATTCCTGGCAATGTCTCTGGCAGGGTGTGGGGGTGGCATTAGAAGCTACTGTCTCCATTATCCATCTGTCAGGCTCAAACAGTCCAAGTTGCTAGGGAGATCAGCCAAGATCTGATCAACGAGAGAGGAAGGGATAGGGGACAAGGGAAGGAGGAAAGGAGGAAGAAAAGGAGAGACAAGATTAAGGGAGGATAAGAAAGCCTTATCCAAGCTATGAATCTCAGGTATTCAGAGGAAGGGGTGCCAGGTGACTAAAGCTCAGGCATCACTCAAATACAATGAGTCATGGCTGAGTCCATGTCTGCAGGACAGGGCGGACTCCAGGAATGACCCAGGGGATTTGTTATGTGATTAAAGCTAGCGTGGCCCTGCACACCATCACAATGGCTCAGCTGTCCAGACAATTTTCAATCTTCTGTGTGCCTCCCCAAGACTAAGGATAGAAGTGGACCTGGTGTGTTATTGAGGCACGGACAGAAGTCCAGCCTCAGGAAGGAGCAGGTAGTGAGCAGGACAAGAGCTGCCTGCCACGGAATGGTTATTCTATTCCATACTCTTCCCTCTGTCCCATCCTCACCTCCCCAACATGAATGTTCACCCAGTGGGCAGCTGTGCACATCAGCATGAATCCGAGGGCTGGGGAATTTGGGTAGTCGGTCTAAAATAACTGCAGCTAATGCTTTCTGAGCACTCACAGTGCACCAGGTACTGTTCTATGTTCTAAGACCTTTGCATGAACTATCTCAATACCCACCACACCTCTGTGGGGGTAGACAATTATCCTCACTTTGCAGATGAAGAAAATAAG